GTTCTCACACACTGGTCAAGAGCACCCTGCCTGAGCATCTGGCATGGGCCCGTGTCACACACCCATAACCATTGACATCATACTGCCTGTGTGATCATCAGTCTCACCCACCAGATGGTGAGCCCGGTAGGGCTGATCTTTGCATCCTCAGCACATGGACACAGGCTGGACACATAGCGTGTGCTCATGCTCAACTTGAACACTTAATGGACTCGTAATAAATGCTTGTTGAACAGATGAAAGAATGAATGTCACAACTGTCAAGCAACTTTAAAGAGAAATCGAGATTAATATGGATACATGGAAAGACTGTGGTTTGTATAGCTTCCATTGTTTCCTGCCTAGGCCAAATCTGGCACTTATTGTCCCAGTCGTCCATTGGACGTGCCCTGAGCTGACTCGGGATCCTTGATCGAGTGCTTTCTATTTGCTGGGCACTGCATGCACTTAGATGATGCGTCCCTGTGAAGCTGGTTTTATAATTTCTGTTTTACATCTGAGGAAATGGACTCAGAGGTAAGGACATTTGCCCAAGGACACAGCTAATCTGTGACCAGCATGATGACACTGTGAAAATGCAAACGGCCAGTTTTTACAAGGAGAAACTTCATTCTTCAGTTCAATTTCTAACACAAAGAACTGGCTTCTGCTTCTCCATCTACCTGGACACTCACCACTGAAGTTCAGGCTTTTCCACTTACTGAAAATTCCCACAAGAGTCTGAATTACTTAAAACACGAGGCTGCTAAATCCTTTCTGAGGTTAAAATATGCTCACCTGGCTTTCCTGCTATTCTGTCACTTGGAACGAAAATGTAAGTTGACCTCTGCTTTGAATGTTTTCAGGCTGATTTTGACACTACCAGTCTACCGTTCACAGGTTTTAGGAACCTGGAAGGCGCCTCCGCCCTGGAAATCCCAGGTCAGTTCCTTAGCTGCCTAAGACTGTTTCTGCATCTTGGAAGTGCGTAGGACTAGCATGGAGTGCCACCGCTGCCACTAGATACCATCTCTCGTTAGCATTTCCGGGGTGCTGGGAGAGAAAACAATGTCTGGGTGATGACTCTTGTCAGTCTCCCCATTGTCAAACCCCATCTCACGTTCCTCCACACTCACAATATTTCCCCATTGGGAACATGCCTGACATTGCAATTTCTCAAAACTGCAGCTCTGCAGTGAATGCCTAATTCCTGAAACTGCAAAATCTAACAAAAGCGGATTTTTTCCACTGATTTGACTGGCTGACTATTTCAAGGCTTTGCATGTGATGACCTGCTGCTCTCCACAAACAACGTCTTCAATGCACCCACATGGTTGCTCTGAAGTGGCCCAGGGCAATTACAGCCTGGCCAGCTGCCTACCGGGCATTGGGAATTACTCACAAGGTCCAGCGTTTCTCTCCCAGACGCGATTTCCCTGCAAGTCACACTTAGCAACTTGCCAAGCAGCTGTGACTTGATTTTGAACTCAGGACCCATTTTCCACCAGTGCTCTATGTCACCCAGGGTGAGCTGCGGACAGGTCACTCACTCAGAGCTGCTTGTTTTGTGTTGTTTTAAAAAGGGCTTTGTCCTCTGTTTGTGTTTTAGTGTTGGTGTTTCGTGTCGGCGGATGAAAAGTAATTCAGACAAAAACATGGCAATCCTGTTCTTTTTATTTTTACTATCAAAATAGATGATCTTTTCCCGTCTTTGGATCTATCACTTGCTTGGGTTCTTCATGCGTTTTTCATGTTAAAACTCTTGCTGTTGTACTTTCAGCAGAAATTTCCAGCTTGGTTGCTAAGGAAGATTAATTCATCTGCTTTCTTGCCTTGTCCCCTGACCTCCCCCTCCTCTTCACCCACACTCCCGGTTTTCACTCCTTTCCCGCAGAGCCGCGGCTTTCCCTCCGCGACGAAAAACGCCACGCGCAACGCCCAGGAGCCGCCGCGTTGTCCGGGTGGAGAAGCCAGACTAGTGATAAACAGCCTTGATATTTTACACCCCGATTCTGCGTCACACAGGCCCCCCAGAAACAGGTCGGGGGCTGCGAAGAAGCTCAGCTAAGGCGCAGATTCCTGGAGAGCCTGGGGACGCGGGGTCGGGGAGCGGAGCCAGGCCTTTCTGAGATTTTTTGTTTCTTATGGAAATTAAGAAAGAGTTTCTAAAACAGCCTCTGGGGCTGAGGGCGCGGGCAGCGTTCTCTCCAGTCCTCCCTCCAGTGGAGCAGCCGAAGCAGCCCCGGGCAATGGAAAAGGCAGGTGTTGACAGAAGAGATGGAGTCGGGGGAGGGCAGCCTGGCACGCCCTGCAGGCCCCAGGCCCGCACCCCGGGTCGCTAGTGCGCGGGCGCGCTCCCCCACCCCCCCACCCCAGGACGCCACGGGCCTGGGGCGCTGCGGCCGCGTCCCCTCCCCCTCTCTGGTCCCCTCCCCTCGTCGCCCGGGACCCGGCCGGGCCCTGCCTCCCCTCCCCCTCCCTCGCGCCCACTTGTTGCTGTCCAGCCCGAGATGTGCTCGTTCCGCCAGCTGAGTGTAAAAGGGTTTGACTTGCGGCTGACCCCGGGTCAGCACTTTCTCTCCGCTAATCCTGCTCTCTTTTTACACAAAACCCTCGGCCCCGTCCCTCGCATCAGTCATCTTAATCTCCACTCGCCCCCCACCGGCGGCTGACACCCCGCCTGGCCTCCAGGCCCCGGCGTGGACCCGAGGGAGATGGGCGCCCGGGGACCCCCACGCCCTCCCGCCCAGAGCCTGCGGGGACGCGGCCGAAGGAATGAAGGGCGAGTGGGGGGAGCACGGGCCGCCCGGACACCTGCCCCTTCCCGCCCCGACCCTCAGGCTGGGCCCCCAGGGGCCAGAGTGGGACTGAGAGGGGAGCCGCGCGCGGGCCTTGGCGGGGGAAGGACTGGGCGGCCGAGCTTCAGAGACAAAGAGAAGAAGGCCGGGCCTCGCCGAGAGGCCGGTGGCGGAGACGCGGCTCGGGGCGGGAGTCGGAGGGCGGTGAAGGCGGCGCTGGGACGGGAGGGGAGGTGGGAGTGGATGGCGGAGGCTGGGAGGGAGGGCAGAGCCCCGGGACCCGAAGGGCAGAGGCGCGGTGTGCGGGGCTCAGCCGCGAGCAGAGCCGGAGAAGGGGCGACTCTGAGGCCCAGGCAGCGGGGTGCGCCCCGAAGGCCCGAGACCCCGAGGAGGCCCGGCCTCCCCCGCCCGGAGGGGACCCGTCGGGACCAGGAGCGGACACCGCTCGGCTCCTCCTGGGGCGGGCGGAGCAGGGTCCCAGCGGGCGCGCAGCTGGAGCGGAACGGCCGGGGAGGGAGAAGGGAGGGAGGGAGGGAAGAACAGGCGAGGCAGGGAGGAAGCGGGAGGAGAGTGCTCGCCCTCAGATCCTGGGAGGTGGTCCCGAGGCCCGGCCCCAGGCGGGAGCGGAGGAAGGGTGAGGGGTCCCTGCGTCCCCCACCTCCCGGCCTGCACCTCCACGCGCGCCCCTCCTCGCCCTAGCTCGGTCCTGACACCGCCCCACCCTGCCGGACTTGGGGGGCACCCAGTCCCCCCTTCTCGCTATGGGGCCCGCACCCAGCTCACTCCTCCCCATCCGGTCAGCCCTTTCAATCTCGCCAATTAGGCTGGAAAGAGAGACCAGCCAAGGCCAAGTCTGCGTTCCACTTGCAGTTTCCAAGGACTCAGCCCCGGGGTTAAATTCTGCCGCCGCCGCAGCCTCTGGAGCCTCTGCCCCGGGGCACAGGCAGAGCGTGGGTGGGGCGGAGGCGGGAGCCTGCCCAGGACGGATGGGGTCCGGGGGGCGCTGGAGCCGGGGCCGGCCCGGAGCGCGCCTTCCGGGGACACACGTCCCGGGACGGGTTTCTTGAATTAACCGGAATTTTCCGTAGACAGAAATCTGCGGTGCCAGGTCTTTGTTGGGAAATGAAACGCGGGAGCATGAGTGCCGTTCTCCCACACGCGTGATTTTAATAGACCTATCAGTCACGCTCCCGACGCGCATCTGCAGATCAGGCCGCTGTGCCCGAGTCTTCTTTCAAACTAAATCATCCAGTACGAGTGGGTTTCTCCGGGGAAGGGGGTGTCAAAATCTCAACAACAAAGGGGCCGAGGAGTTGAAAAACAAAACAAGGCTTAAAATAAACAAACAAACCAAAACAAAACCCTCAAGCGAACCCTCCTACCCCCGGTGTGGAAGGCAGGGCCGAGCGCAATGGCGGATTTACCAGTCACACCGTCGCCCCCGCTCGAACTGCTGCAAACTTTCCCCAGGCCTCAAAGACTGCTGTCCGCCTTCTCTACACGGCTTGCAAACATAATTGGACTAAGCGACAGAAGCACCACCCTGTGATTTGGGAAGTGAATGAAGTCGTCATATAATATAATAACTATCATCATACAGTATTTCACTCCGTGAATACGAGGAGTGTTACCTTGGCCAAGCACTGCATTCACAGTTGTCTCAGGGCCTAGTGTAATTTTTTCTCCGCTAATTTTAATTGGAGATACACTGCTGGGGGCGGGGAAAGGGGGATAGAATCTCAATCTTGAGATGAATCTCAGCTAATTTCTTTGCCCCTCAACCCTGTGATATTTTTCAATAAGTCATTAAAAAATTTCGATTTGCTTTTGTCCGTGCTGTTCTAATCAACAAAACAAGGAAGGAAGATGGCTGGAGCACCTGGCATTGGCTATTTCACTGACTGTGCATGAAGCACCTGCCTACTGCCAGTCTGTAAGACCATCCTCCGGGGAGACACAGGCCGCTTGCCTGGCGTTCTGGGCGCACTAACTCAACTTTTCATAGTCTGTGGCTCTAAAGTGGGGCCCACGTCCTAATGTTGAGCCAAGACCCAGATGCCAACAATTACACACAGAAACTCCAGGGTACACACAGGAGAACATGGGGGCCAGACTGAGGAGTGGATGCCAAAGAACCTCAGAGAGGGTCCTTTAAGTCTGTATATTTCAGAGAAAATCCTCAAGGTCCCAGTGAGTTAACAGAACAAGCATTATAGAATTTCCCAAAGCAACTCCCAGAGGGGATTGGGAAGGCCCTTTCCCAGACTAAGTGGTAATGCTGCTCAGCCATCCATGGGCACACAGACACTTCTAGAAACAACTGCTTCAGAAAGGATCAAATAGTTAAAAGAAAGAAAAAAGAAAAAGAAAAGGGGGTTTTTATTGTTAGAAAGCAGTGGACATCATTCTTGAAGTTTTTTTGCAATCACTTTAACGAATGAGTGGTTTAAACAAACTTATCAAAATGACTCCCCAAAATTACACATGTCAATTGTCAGATTAGCATTATACTTAAAGCTGTTCTCAAAAGTAGGCTGAATTCAGTTCTCATGAAACTGATAACATAGGCCCACTTTTGGATGGACAGTCCATACTCACTCCAGGACAATAAAAGGTGTTGAGGAAACGAGGGGGAAGCCTAAGGCTGCTGAAATCAACCTATTTCCATCAGGACTTAAAGTGTTTTTTTTTTTTTTTTTTTCAAAAATATAATTTCATCTTAATGTTGTGATTAATTTTTAAATGTATTTGCTACAGTATAACTTTTAAATGCAATATTTAATGCTGTCAGATTACTTGAAGACAAAGTTTTACAGAAAACTTTAAATTTCAGAAAAAAACTGCAATGTACCAATAAACACCTAGAAAAAAATATAATTAAAAAATTTAAAGCATCAAACAACCTCAAGATCTCGTCAAGAGTAATGAACAAGGCATTTTGCGTTCACGTCGGTTAGCAACTTGCATCCCAGTTCACGCAGGGGAGGGTGATGGTCGATATTTCTCTGTGTGTATGAGAATCCAACACAATGATTTCGCCCGTTTTCCCAGGAGAAAGAAGCCAGAGGGAGGGGTAGCGGGTGTACAGAGGGGGCTCGGCTGCAACACATTTTGGTTCAGCGATTTTGTTTCCTGGAAACACACTTAGATAAATTCTGCTCGAAATTTTAATTGCTGGGGAATTGGGAAACCCGTGACCTGCCCTGGTCTTTGTCCCTCATCCAAGGCCTGGTCCCGGGTCCCGCCATTGGGGTCTTCCCTTCCTCCTTTCTCCTCTGGACCAAACAGTGGCACAGAAGCCCAGTCAGGTGGAAGGCACCCAGCAAGATAACGAACGTGCAGCCACCCCAGCCGCCCGAGCAGAAGATACTTTTAATTATTTCTCGGCCTGTAGTAACACTTCAGTTCTACAAAATAACCTATAGGTTTTAACTTTCTTCTCTTCCATTGAATAATCTTCCTTGAAAATCCTATTTCCCCCGCCCCATTCCCCGGGGTTCCCTTACTTTTAGTGCATCCAGATGATTTCCCTTTCAGATTTCCTAACTGCATTTTGAACTCATAGAACATGCATATAAAAATAGCATGTTTCAAATTTATGGGGAAATGGGCTTTCTATGTTAAATTTATTGAGTCAAAACATTCTCGGGGGGCGGGTGTCTTTTTCCGTTTTTAGAAGAAAGGCTTTTTAGGAAACTATGTACATAATCTGACTTCTCCTCCCCGCATTGCAACGCCTAAAATAAAATTTTCACAATGCATTTACAAGAAATAATACAAAACCAAAAAAAAAAAAATGGAAATGGTCAGATACAGAAAGTTTTACAAAACCCAGAATATAACTCCGCCGCCTTAAGGAGGGGATGGTGGTGGTAATCGCTTTGTATAAATTAACAAACCAACCCAAAAGAGCGGAAACTACTACAAAAAACTTGTAAGTGCTTGGACCTGCCTCACTACATCTAGAACAAATGCGACGAGCTCCGGGTCGCTGGGGCTCAGGCTGTCGGCGCCGTCGGGAAGCGACGCGGGGGAAAGTGAACGCGCCGGCCGGGATACAAAAGTTGGCTTTGCCTCTCGCCTCGTTTTGACCTTTTTGTCCCCTCGAGCAAAGAAAACGCTTTCCGCCTCCTCCGCGGGTGATAAATACTGTACAAAAAGTCTCAAGAAAACACCGAAATACAGTCTAAAACGCAAGTCTGGTGTCAGCGCCCAGCGGTCGCCCAGAGCTCCGGGAAAGGTGAGCTGGCGGCACGCGCCACCGGGCGTTCGTCTCCAGTGTTTTCCTTTTGACCAGAGCCTCGAAACGTCTGTACAAAGCCAGGCCGCACCGGGGCGGGCCGCGAGCTCAGGAGTCGCCGCCCAGGGTCCCCGGCGTCCCGGCGGCGCTAGATGTGCGTCAGGGGCACCGTGCCGTTGACGCTCGCGCCCGCGCCCTGGTAGTGCTGCGGCAGCGAATGCAGCCGGCTCTGCGCGGCGGCCGCCGCCGGGTCGCCCCCCTCTCCCGCGGGCAAGTACATGCTGATCATCTCGCGCAGGTCCCCGGGGCACGGCGCCCGCGAGTGCGCAGGGGCAGGCGGGCTGCCGCTCGGCTCCGACTTGACCAGCGAGCCCAGGGCGCCCAGGGCGCCCGACGACGCGGCCGCCGCCGCCGCCGCCGCCGCCACGGCCGAGTTCTGGTGCGCGCCGCCCGCAGCGGCGGCGGCGGCGGCCGCGGCGCCGTAGGGGAGGCCGCCGTAGCCCGAGGGCGATGCGCTCATGTAGCCCTGCGAGTTGGAGATGGGGCTGTACTGCAGCGCGCCCATGTCGTAGCGGTGCATGGGCTGCGGGTTGTGCGGGTGCGCGTGCGGGTGGTGCGGATGCGGGTGCGCGGGGTGCGCGTGCGGGTGCGCGCCGCCCGCGCCCGGGTGCTGCCCGTAGGCCAGCTGCGCCTCCTGCATCATGGCCGCGGCCGCCGCCGCCGCCGCCACCGAGCCCGGGTAGGCGCCGTTGGCCCAGCCGTTGACGTGCGCGTAGCCGCCGCCCGCCGCACCGCCCGGGCTCTCCAGGCGCTGGCCCACGGCTGCCGCGCCCACGCCCACACCCACGCCCATGGCCACGGCCGCGCCGCCGCCGCCCGCGCCGGCCGCCAGGAGCCCGCCGGCCAGCGAGTACTTGTCCTTCTTGAGCAGCGTCTTGGTCTTGCGGCGCGGCCGGTACTTGTAATCCGGGTGCTCCTTCATGTGCAGCGCGCGCAGCCGCTTGGCCTCGTCGATGAACGGCCGCTTCTCGGCCTCGGACATGACCTTCCACTCGGCGCCCAGGCGTTTGCTGATCTCCGAGTTGTGCATCTTGGGGTTCTCCTGGGCCATCTTGCGCCGCTGCCCGCGGGACCACACCATGAAGGCGTTCATGGGTCGCTTGACCCGGTCCTGGTTGGCCTTGGTTCCCCCGCCGCCGCCGCCCCCGCCTCCGCCCCCGCCGCCGCCCGCCCCGGCGGGGCCCGAGAGGTTCGTGGGGGCCTGGGCGCCGCCGGGCGAGTGCAGGTCAGTCTCCATCATCATGCTGTACATCGGGGCGGCTGGCGGGTTCACCTGCACCGCGAGGAGAGGGCCTGGCGCATAGACGGCCGGGTTGGGGGGTAGACAGAGAGGAGTTCGAACGGAGCGAGACGGGGGCGGGGGTGTCCTAGCAGAGAGAAGAATGGGTAGGGGTGAAGGCAACGACAACAAAAAGAGGCAGAAACACACGCGCTCAGCGCCGCTTCGGCTCGCAGGTTTAAAGTTTCTCCCGGTGCACAAACCACTTGCCAAAGAGGCCGACAGTCGGGGTCGCAGTCCTCGCCGCCACCGCAGCCCAGGCGCCCTCGGCGGAGCGGTGCAAACAGGTGCAGTCGTGGCCAACTTGCGGCTCCACTTTGCGGGCCAGGAGTCTTGCGCTGGGTCCGGCCGGGGGTGCGCTGTCTCCTCCTCGCCGGCCGCCGCCGCCGCGCGCTGTCTCCTTCCTCCTGTGCTCGATCCTCAGCGGCCTCCAACTCGGGGGCTGCAACTTCTAGCAGCGCGGCGCGCCGCGCCGCGTGCGCTGGGCATGTGTTGTTCCCAGCTGCCCGGGGGGAGCCAGGCGCCGAGGGGGGGCGCAGGGGGGCCCGGAGGGGGGCTATTACGGTGCAGCCAGGGAGGGGTCCAGGGACAGCGGGAGGAGCGCGGGCTCGCGGAACGGGCCGGAGAGCCGGGGCCGCCGAGCCCGGGACGGGCTGCCCGCTGCCTGCCCGGGGCCGTGCGCTCGGAGCGGAGGCGCACGCGGGGCCGGCGGCGCGCGGGGCCCAGCAGCCATACGCCGGGCCCGGGCTGCCATTAAATGTGTGCGCCGCGGCCAATGGGAGCCGGCGGCGGCAGTGATTTGCATGGCGCGCTGGCAAGTGACGTGGGGAGGGAGTAGATACACTGGGCGCGGGCGGCAGAGCAGGGAGGAGGGGAGGAAGGAGGGGGAGCAAAGCAGGAAGGAGGGGGGCAGGAGGCCCGGGAGGGGGTGACAGCCACACCGCTTCCTGAGCGCGCGCGCGGCGGCGGCGGCGGCGGCGGCGGCGAACCCCTAGCTCGCCCTCCTCGCCGCTCCCCGCCCGCGCGCTCCGAATGATTAACGATTGGGTTGAAAAGCGAAGACTTAGGAAGAATCGTCAGGGGTTGGGAGGAGGAAACGCAGCTCTGGGCCAGTTTTACACGGGCGCGGTGGAAACCCAGCTCCTCCTCTGCCCCCGCCGGCCAACTCCGAGCCTGCAGGGAAGGGGAAAGTTGAACGCGAGGCCGGGGCGTCACCCTCAGCTCACCCGAGTGCTGAAAAGGAGGGGCGCTCCCATGGGCGCAGGGGAGACCCTCCGAGGGCTCCTACAGGTTCTCCTGCAAGGATCAGACGGCTCATTAACCCCACCTCCACCATCCCCCACATCTGTTCTCAGCCGCGATGGGCACTGAAGTTCTCGGGTGCCCGCTCTTGCAGCCAGGGCCTTCACAGACCAGGCCCCTCAATTTGGGTAAAGGGGGAGTATTTGTGTGCGCTTGGCTCCTTAGCCCCGTTTCGGACCAGCCCTAAACTTTTTTGGGGTGGGTCTTTTAATGAGCCTGGGGTCATGGTCACGCACTCTTCCCAACCCGGGTCTTCTTCCTCTGCAAAAGGAATTTCTAGGAAGGTGGAACACGACAAGACCTATCTGGAATCTAGCTCCCGAATAACAGTTGAAAAAGTTTGTTGAATCGCAAAAGAATGATCTGGCCCACGCTTTTCTGGAGCGAGTCTCCCACCAGCTGGTTGCCTAAGAACTGAGAAAACTGCGTGAACTGCGCGGGGCCAACTAACCCGAATGAAAGGCGAGGCCTCGGGGCCGGGTCACAGCCGCGGGTCTAAATCCTGCAAAGGAAAGGCCCGGCTCGTGGAAAGAGGAAGGCCTTCACCTGCGGTTATATTTCTTAAACCTCAAAGTGGCTTTGATTTGGGAACATGCAAGAGATTGTCAAACCCAGTCTCAATTATCATAGCGCTCACACTACGGTTTCCACCAGACTGATCTGAAAGTGGTCCAAAGACTTCTTTGAGCCCAAGCGTTCCTTCTCGGTCCTCACCGAGGCACCCTGAGATGAGAGTGCTTATGGAGATTGGTGGTGGGTAAAGTGGAGCCTTCACCGCATGTCACGTGTCTGCTTGTCTTGTAATAGAAATATTCAGTAAGGATGATGGTAACGGTAATAGAAGTAATAGGGTGTTTGAGTCTGTGGGGCAGAGAACACGTGACACTTTTTTTTCTCTTAAAAAAAATTCTGAGGTTGTGAATTTCTTGACCCTGTTGCTTGTCCAAGGTAAAAGAATAATGCTTTATTTCCTCAATTGCTATGATTATTACTGTAGGGTTTATTATTATTATTATTGCAGGGTTGCCTCAGCGTGCAGTGCAACAGCAAATCGATCTCTCTGCAGATTAAACTGCTTTTATTCCAGGCCATTCAGCATTTAATAGTAAATTCATCAAATAATATATAATTATATTAGAAAGGGAACATCATTTCATATTTATTTTTCACTAAATATCTAGGTTATAAACTGGGTTTCCAACTACCTTCTTATTTCACCGGTCGAGTTTGTTAAATCTTTTCATTTGTTCCATGCACTACCTACAAATATCAGTTACATTGTGAATGAACAAAAAAGGAGCAAGAATATTGTTTGGGAATGCTATAGACCCATTTTTTTCTTGATAATTTAGGAGGCAATGAGTGTGCAGTGAGATCCAGTGTGTTAGGGAAAGTCAGCAAGACTGAAATAAAGGAAATGGTTTACAAATTATAAACTATATTATCCACTTAGCAGTTGAAAGATTTCTTTCCTCTGCTTTTCAATTTAGAGTTTAAACTAAATAGCTTAAGACTCCCTGAAAATGCATTGTATGAATCAGGCTTGGCACATTATTTTCCATATCAATGGAGCGATTTATTTTATAAACAACCTGCACTCCAGTGTGCTTTGCAGGAATGCTTTATGCTTTGGGGAACTTGGATAGCTGAGTTTGAAATGGTCTAGTTTATTTCTACCATAGTCCTGAAAATTGTTTCCAAATACGACGTTACCCTTGTTTTTCAGAGCATCTAAATAGGAAGAAAATGGTTTAGCGTCGTGTGAGATCACACTAGTGCTCTGCGTTCAGGGTGCTCTGCATAAGCCCTCTTTAGTGACGAGGTGTTCCCTAGGCCCAAGCGGGTTCACACACTGTGGGTGACCACCTGCATAAGTATTAAACCAAAGCTGCAGGTGGAACTTGTTGCCAAGTAATGAATGATTGGCGGCAGCAGGCAGTGCAAATTAGGCAGCATAGGGCACTGCATGCCAGACCTCTGTGCCTTCCTTCCTGGCATGAGGATTGAAGAGCATCATATTAACTCCTGCTGGCAATCGATGGCTTCTGGAAGCCTCAATTTCTTGCTCCTTCTAACCTCTTTCCTCAGTGACTCTTTAAAAAAGCAGACAGTCCAAAACCAGTTTGAAAGGCACCTCCTTCTCCCTTCCACTCGCAGCCAGGTTGGCAGTGACATCCTTCAAACTCAGTATTTTCCCAAAGGCGGGACTCCTGAAGATGTGAACACTAACTTCCCTATTCCCAAGTAATATCATAGGAAGTCTGGACCCTCAAGCAAAGGGTTACTCTCACTGTTGATTGACCAAATTTGCTTTTTTGGCAACTCAGAAACTTCATTGTGCTTCTTTGCTCAAAATGCCAAAGTGAAGATCAACTTAGAAATGTGGATAAATAAAAATACTTTCTATTGTATGTGACCTGTGGTCATAATCTTCAAAGACAATCCAAAAGCAAACAATCTTTAGAAGTCACACACACACATGTCTATATGTCTGTGGTAGATTAGGCCATTAGGCAAGAACCCTCAACGTTCAGTGCTGGACTTCAACACCGTTATCCAAAACTATCTATATGGAGTAATGAAGACTTTTAGCTTTCGTCCCCCCACCCGACCCCCACCAGGCATGAGAGAGAGCTTTGTGGCATCTAGAGACGGATTTGCTGTGCCCAGTGTCAGTCCCAAGCCCCAGGCAAAGAGCTAGGAGTTCTGGAGGACAGTGAAAGAAGACAGAAACCCTGGCCTGTCTTTCGTGGTCCTGGTGAAGCCGACCGGTCCTGCTGACACTCTCCAGGGACATCTGGCCACACCACAACCGGTTGCCCTCCTGGGTTCAGCTCCTGCGGCTTCTGGGGGCCGGTTGGAGGGCGGAGGCCACATGTAGGTGACTCCTCCGACCTCCGAGGGGCTCAGGCTTCTTGGCTCTGGTGTCGCCCCAGAGGGCCGGGGCCACAGTTAAAGGAGGCAGATGAAGAGGAAGCCGCCAGTTTCCAGGCGGAGCTTTTGAAAGAGAAAAGAGTAGTCAGAAGGAGGAGAGGAGAAGGCGGCGAAGAAAGGGCGGGAGAGAGAAGAAGAAAGAGCCATTCAAGTTGGAAGAGGCCTTCGAGGCCATTTCTGCCTACAGGAGGCGCGGGGCGAGGGCGGGGAGCGCGTCGGGGGCACCGCGTGGGGGCGGGCGGGGGTGCAGAGGACACAGCAGCGGGAGGGCGGCGGACAGAGAAGGCCGGGTTTCCTCCCGCGCGGAGCCACGGGGGGCGAAAAGGCAGCTGGCCCAGCCGCGCGGCTCCGGCCTGAGGCCCCGCGGCGCGTCTGAGCTGGCCGTTCCGTGGCGCGCGCCGCGATCGCCGTCTGCTGGCCGCTGCCGCCCTCGCCAAGATTCCAGGGCTCTCCGTTCTCTGAAGCCTCGGCGCCTCTCACCCTCTCTGGCTGCCAGAGGCCTTGTTCGAGGGCCTGGAGCGCGCGTTCGGGGGACTGAGCTCCAGAGTGCGCGGGTGATGGCCAGGGAGCTCTCGAGGAGCGTTCCTCTCTCTTGGGTGCCTGGGCGCTCCATCATCTGCGTCCTGGCTAACTTGGTTCCACTGTTACCAAAGAAAGCCGGAGAAGCCGAAGTAGCACAGAAGTTTCTGTGGGTGGTGGTTTGGTTTGTTTTTTAAGGAGGAAAACAAAAAACAAAAAACCCAGCCCAGGGAAAGGGGGTATGTGGAAGAAGAACGGAAAGAGAGCCCTGGCAGTCAGGGATAGCAGCAGAGCAGACCTTCCCAGGAGCTCTCAGCTGCGGGCGCAAGAAGGTCGTTCTTGTAGCATCTGTGGGAGAAGGGTCAAGAAACCCCTTCTTCTCAAAAGCGACTCAGGCTTTCTTTTGGGTGATTCGTGTGGAGAGCTGCACATTCACGATCGAAGAGCAAACAACTGTGTGTGTGTGTGTGTATGTGTGTGTGTGTGCGCGCGCGCGCGCGTTCTGTGTGCCTCTGAGCTCTCTGGGTGAAAGCATTTGGAGAAGCTCTGGGAGCTTTGGAGTAGGGGCTCACCCTGTGAGCAGTACTCACACATATAATTCAAATTTCACAGCTGACCTGCTCTGAAAACCTCAATCAGCTTCTAATTGAAGGGAAAACAAATATTGCTTCCCTACAGCAGAGCTAACGATTTAATCATTATATCAGACATTATAGCTTTTAATTAGGCTAATGCTGATACTGTATGGAAAGAGATAATTCAACACAGTTCTTGATGAATTCTGTAATTGGGTTAACGGCAGAGCAGTTGGGGGAGAGACGTCAATATTCAAGCTGCGTCTGTAGCCACCAGGTTTATGAATGAAAGAGGAGACAAGGGGAGGAAAAAGGCTG